TTTGGCAGTTAAAATGCCAAATTTGGCCCCCTGTACTATAGCCCGTGCTTTAATCTTAATAATGACCCTACACTCACTGGAGATGGGGCACAGTTACTGGTACACATCATTTGAGATATTTTATTAATTAGTTCTGTTTTAATTGATGAGTCTCCGTTAATTTTAAAAGTTAATAATCTCTCCTGAGGATCATCAGACCAATGGACTAACAGACAAAAACCATTAACAACATCTAATAAAATAAATAAATAAATGAATAAATAAATGTACTTTCACTATCAGTGAAATCAATGACTGACCTAATATTAGAATATGTGAGGAATTCCAAGTGTCTAAATATAGTAACAAGAACAACAGTAATACATGTACATGTACGTACATTACATGTATATGTAATGTACATGCATGTATACTAAAAATACATGTACATGTACCTGTATGGTTTGTATGAGTCCTTCATAGCAACAAAACCATTACCACTTCTTATCTTAGCAATCTGTAGGAGAGAGGGAGGGAGGGACACTAATTAATAAGACCATCCAATAGTACAGGGTATTTTTCAGAATTTTGGGATTTTCTTAAAATGGCTGTAACTCAAAAAATTGAAGTCAGAATTGGCTCAAACTTGCTACACAGCATAAGGACATCAATATGTATCAGAAAATGTAATAAAAACTTTGGGTGATTTCGGAGCCATTTTTTGAAAAAACTATGGGCTATAGCCTTGGGTATTTTTCAGAATTTTGGCATTTTCTTAAAATGGCCGTAACTCAAAAAATTGAAGTCGGAATCAGCTCAAACTTGCTAGACAGCATAAGGACATCAATATGTATCAAAATATGTAATAAAAATTGGGAGTGATTTCGGAGCTATTTTTTGAAAAAAAACCATGGGCTATATAGCCTTGGGTATTTTTCAGAATGTTGGCATTTTCTTAAAATGGCCGTAACTCAAAAAATTGAAGTTGGAATTAGCTCAAACTTGCTACACAGCATAAGGACAACAATATGTATCAGAAAATGTAATAAAAATTTGGGGATTTCAAAGCCATTTTTTGGAAAAAAAACCATACAAAAATGAGACACTTCCTCTATCTCACCTCAATGCTGTCAGAGAAGAGGAACAACGCTATAGACCTTCTGCAATTACGTTATTTACGGCAGCGCGTCATAGCAACCGTCGTTAGGCAGCCATCTTGAGTGTCAAATTGAGTGTCCCACGCGCCTATAAGGCATGGCTGAACACCCGCAAATATTCTCCAGCTATTATTCTAGCCTAGATGAAGCTGCCAAAGCTC